GCACGCACATCCCTCGAGACTAAGGTCAGTCGCCAGTCCCTGGGCAGACAGCAGCGCGCGCCGGCCGGGGGAGGCCAGGGAAGCCTGCGAGGTGTGAGCTGCAGGCCATTGCAACCATCGCTCCGGGAGGCTGTCCTGCGCGTTGAACACCACGCTGATGCCTTCCCTGGCGTTCTCCCTTTTAGTCCTCGCACCAGCCATAAGGTTGTTGCAGACCCATTTTACCGGTGATGTAAATGAGCCCCCACGGACGCAAGGAGGCAAGATGGCAAGAGAAAGTGACGGGCCTGGGACTGGAATCCAGGCTCCAGAGTCCCAGCGTTGAACCGCAGAGTTCTCTGTCGCCCTCTAAGCGAGCCCGCCCCAATTGTGCGCCACACCTTCGGCCGCACACGCAAGGTCCGGCCGCTCGTCTCCCAGTCTAGCCTTGCCAGGCTGCTCCCGCCTCTCCCCGCCCCCATCCCCGGGCCGGCGGCCTCGTAGACGTTGTTGCGTGGAGGGCCGCATCCGGTCGGGGGTCGCCAAAGCTGCTGCGGCACGTGCGTCTCGTGTCTGGGTTTCGAGGATGTGTCGCCCTAGCCAGATGCCACGCCCGCCTCTTGCTTCGGCTCCGGTTGCCGCGGCTCCCCACAGCCTTCACTCCACCCAGCCCCCACCTCCACCCCTTTACCCCCTTCCCAGGGCCTCGCGAGGGAGCTGGGAGCAGGCCGAGGCTGGCCCCGCGCCGTGGAGCCGTGGGGACGCTGCATCTGTCTGGCTTCCCACCAAACCCTTGGCACCTATCACACCGCCTGATGTGTAGTAGGCTCTCAGTAAGCATTTGCTAAACTAATGGATGGATGGATATTCATTGAAAGCCCGTTTTGCGCGCACTTGATGCTGAGAGGGAGGATCCAAAACGGAAAAGTGCAGGGCCTATTCTCTAGCTCTAGGTCTCTGGAGAGGTCAGGGGTCAGGTCACGTCCGTCTCTTGCCTTCGGCACTCAACTCAGCGTGCCACATGGTCTGCTTCAACACATGAGTGGAGAACGTGATGCTTGCAAGCGTTTAAAACAACTTGTGGCAACTGGCGATGAGCAGGCGCGCGGAGAGAGCGGGATACCAGAAAAACTTGTGTGTGGCAATGCGAGGAGGAGGCTGACCTCAGGGCAGTGGAAGAAAGGCACAGAGGACACGGAGTGCTCCGGTGACTGGTGGCGGTCTGGGGAGGGCTGGGAGACAAAAAGCAGCTTTGCCATCAATACTGACAGGCTTCTTTGGAGCAGAGGTTTTGTAAGAACTGAGGGCAGTGACGCCTACGTGGCAGGGGTGCAGGCAGTGGCGTCAGGGGGCTGGCCACATGTCAGAGATGGCGGCTCTCACAGAGCCGAGGATGTGCAGCTTGGCATAGTGGTCGGAGCAGAGCCAGAGTCACTCTGCCATCTACCAGCTGTGGGACCTTTAGAAATTACTTCACTTCCTGAGGGGGAATTAATACGATATACACCACAAAGAATTATAGAGGATTATATGCATGAGTATTTACAAAGTCCTGAGAACAGTGCTTGGTACACAGTAAGCTCTATATGATGTTAAATAAATAAATATGGAGAATGGGTCTGTTAACTAACATCATTTCTCCGTGCAAGAGACAATTGTACACATGCAGCAATACCTAGCTAATAAAAGGGAGTTTTGTTTGTGTTCTTTTAAAAGGACCACTCTTAGCTTTAGTGTGGATAAATATAAACCTTCCATCTACATAATATTTACAAATCGTGTGACTCTCATTAGAAATATGGAAAAGAAACATCATTACCCCCATTTCATAGAAGACAAAGCTAAGTCCTGGCAGCAACTCAAACTTATAGGTTTAAAATAAAGCGCTTCGTTGCCAACTTTACCCCCAAACCATTCATTCCTCGTCAACAAGTAGCATCACCAGCCCACTGGTTGGTCATTTGTTCCTCATATACTCTAAAACCAACCATCAGTAAATCCCATCTGCTCTGCTTGCAAAATGCATCCAGAGTCTGACCACTTCTCCGTGCTACGGTGGATTGTTGAAGTTACTATCATCACTCTCTGGACCACAGTCCTTACTGGTCTACCTGCTTCTGAGTGTGCCCCTATAGTCTGAAGTCTTTGCTCAGCAGCCAGAGTGTTTTTTTTTTTTTTTACCTTGGAGTCCCACTCTGTTGCCCAGTCTGGAGTGCAGCGGCATGCTCATGGCATGCTCACAGCCATCCCAGCGTTGGCCTGTTGGCCTCCGGCGATCCTTTCACCTCAGCTTTCCAAGTAGCTGGAACTACAAGCGCATACTACCATGGCTAATTTTTTTATTTATTGTAGAGAGGAGGTCTCGGCAATTGCCAGGGCTGGTCTCAAACCCACGGGCTCAGGCAGTCCACTCACCTCGGCCTTCCAAAGTGCTGGGATTACAGGCTGAGCCACTGATCCCGGCCCAGAATAATTCTTTAAAAGATAATTTCAATCGTGTATTACTACACCTTCCACTGAATTCCCATCACGCTTGGGATAAACTCCAAAGAACTCTATGCCTAAAAGGCTCTACCTAACCTAACACCCCAGCCTCTTTTATCTCATGGCCTACCATGTACTGCCCTGTGCCCTGCATTCTAGCTCCCTGGCCTCCTTGCTGTGCATCATAGAGGGTGAGCTTGTTCTTGCCCCAGGGCCTTTGCACTTGCTGTTTTCTTTGCCTGACACTCCCCCCCCCACACACACACACACAGATCCAAGGGTCTCACTGTTCACTTTTCTCAGACCTCTGCTTAGACTACCTGGCCTGATCCTCTCATCTAAAATGACATCCCTGTCATGTTTCATCCCTTTGTCTGGCTTTATTTTTCTTTATAACGCCTGTCACTGCCTCACATTATATTAAATCCCTGTTCATCTGTTTGTCAGCCATTTGCCTTGACAGGTTACAACTCCCTGAGAGCAGAAGTTTGTGTGTCTCATTCCCTTTTGAGATCCCAGTGCCTAAAATTGTACTTGGCACCTACTAGACACTCAACATACATTTTTTGAATGAATGCTTGTACATTCTTCTAACAACCATGTATTGTTATGAGTTAATACTTATAAAGTTGTCAGCACTGTGCCAAGTGCTACGGGCAGGAATGGCTGATGCACTGGAGACGCAAGGCCACGTAAGACAGATCCACTGCCCTGAAGTTGCTTATCCCTGGTAGCCCATTGGTTGATGACCTAAACCCACCGTGGCAGGAAGGTAGGATGCATCTATAAGAAGGATCTGCATGGGTTGATTTGGGAGCAAAGGAGGCCTCTGAAATCTGAATGGGAAGCTTGTGAAGACATGCACTGAGAGAAAAACAATCTGGTTTGAAACGTTTTGAAAAATTTGCTGGAGTTAGCCAGAAGAAAGCTGAGAGAATATTCTAGATAGAGGAAGGCTATGAACAGGCCAACTCAGGAAGGAAGGGACTGGGTGGAGGCCAGGACATGACAAAGAGAGTGAATAATTTGACTGGCGTTTAGAGAACCATTACTCATCCTCCAGTATGGAGGGTGGCTTGTGAAGGCCCATGGGACCCAGTCCTGTGGGGAGATCACTGCAGTGACCCCACAGTGAAGAGGGGAGGTCCGAACAAAGTTGGCAGACGTGGAAATGAAGATGCTAGTACAGATACATGAGCTAAAGCTGAACACATCAGGAGATAACAAGGAGATGAAATCTCCTGGGTCTGACAGTTAATTGGATGTGGGAAGAGAGTGGAAAATAGTTGGGGTGACTTCCCAGCTTGGAGCTAGTGAAGAAGCTGGGTATACATTTGTGTCGTCACTAGTTCAGCAGGTCTTGTTTCATCTGTGCTGGGTGAGAGAAGATTACTCCGAGCATGCAGCCATTGGGAGCTACTGAGGATACAGCCCTTTGTGTGTGCAGGGCTTGTGCACATAGTACCCTCAGACTCACCTGTGGGTTATCTTCTCTGTGTGAAAGCCTCTTAACCCCTGGATCCTGAATCCCACCCAACACAACCTGACATCTTCACATTTTAAAACAGTTCTGAAAATAAGCCTAACATTTTCTTTATCCTCAATCCATGATATAGCTGCCTGTCAGCATTTGGGTGAATATTTTAGGCCCATTTGAATGTCACTTAAAATAATTGTCATGTGACTCCAGTGTGTAGAACATTTAAACCTTCTTTAGAAATAAAAATAGAAAGGATCCATTTTATTATCCCTTTCCCTAAGGTGATGGTAAAATGGAATTTCTTCTCTCTTTTAATTTTTTTACTTTAAAGATGTGGGGTACAATTCAGGGTTAGGTATACAAATGTTCATTAAGCAGGAACCCTTGTTTATGAGGTGTGCCCCTCCACCCCCAGCAGTTTCCACTACTGCCAATCCTAAAATGGAATTTCTTCTCATGTTAATTTAGTTTCATCATAATTTAACATATTTTCACTATAAACATTGTTTGTACCTATTACTGGCATTTCAGAAAATAAGATGAAATCTACCTTAATTTTTCCATCCTTACATAGCCACTGTAAATAATTTGGCCTATTTGCCCCCATAATATTAGAAACATGTTAATATTTTAACAAAATCTAGAAAAGAAAGTTTGCTATTTAGTTAGACTTGTTTATTGTTCTTTTTGACACAAAGTAGAAACGAGCTTTGGTTATTTTTAGCTGAGTCTCCATAAATGCCCAATATCCTTGTAAATCTTAATATCTGTGGAATGAAATATTTTTGCTCTTTGCAGAATTATAGCTTTGCCAAATTGAATGACTTGAGTAGTTATGACTGCTAAAGATCCTAGCGCAGTTCT